CTTTAGTTAAATATAAAACCAACAACCATAATTTGCAGAGTTTTTGGATAGACGAACGAATAAACTGAATGAGATGACATTGCCTTACTTAACTCTTAACTCTTGGAGGAGTTTGAACAAGTGGCATAAGTCGTGCTGCAGTGGTTAAAACGAACCCTTTTGCTATTGTAGCCCTCGACGTCTAAGTCAACACACCTGAAACGTGTGCCAAATGCGCCCGCACACACACAAACAGAGAGAGCGAAAGAGAGAGAGAGAGATAGAGTGTGTAAGATAGGGATAGAGAGAGTTAAACAATAAATCCGCATTAAGTTTAAACGCAAACACGTCGCACACGAACTCAAAGAAATGCAACTCGGTTTGCAGCTTTCCGTCTGTCGACTAATTAACTTACTTGCATGTGGGTAAAAAGTTCGTGGCGATTAGTTTGGCAAACCTCAGCGAAAGCCATAAACTGTCGTGCGACAACTTTCAGCAATTAATTATCCGCAAAGTTTTCAATTACGAGCCAATTACGAGCAGCCATCAACCCATTATAGTGCACACACTCGACACTCGTGCAAAAAGACAAACTAAAAGAAAAAAAAAAAGATTTGACTCTGCTGAAATGTTATAGAGTAATCGACGTGCACGTACGACTTCCGCCTGCCCACCTGGCCAAAGCCAGCCACCTCACCTCACTCACCTCCGCTCTGCTCTGCTCTGCTGCTGCTCTGCTCTCCGAGTGCGTTAACGCATACGAGTCGATGACACGTTTTGCCAACACATCATGTCGAAGGTATGCGGCCGCCGCCATTTTACGGAAATGCAGGCGACGCCATGCCCGAAACCCGACTGGCAAATATGCCGCCCAAACAATGGCCGCCTGCCACTGCGGAAATAGTGTTTTTGTGCAAATTTACCCGAAATCGCAATCAAGTCAATGTAGCTGGAAATGAGGCATTCGGCATGTGCACCATGGGATTTGAGAACTCGCGGAATGAGGCTTTGTAAACGTCAGATATACATACATACATGCGCGAGAGTACTCAGTTGCATTTCGGCCAACATTTTGTTGACAATTAAAATGTACTCTTCATTAAGGTGTGATTGTGCATTCCGTCCACAGTCAAACATTTTCGATTTTATTATGCAGCAATCGCAAATTCGTAAACAGAAAATGAGCTGAAAAGTTCCGAAACCAAAATGTTGAAAATTGCGCAATACCTTGATAATTGCTGTTATTATAAATGTTAATAGCTCTGTTACCCTTTCTGTAAGCAATAAATATTGTTCAAAAAGCATACATCAATAAATCAACAAGTTTGAAATATATACATATATCAAATTCGAATTTTAGATGACTATCGATACTCTGAGGGAAATCAAAATTAAAATTTAGAGGACTCATATGAACATAGGAAACTTCTGACATGATTTTACTTTTTAGCCAAGGGTAATAAATTAACTAAAACTATTTCCGGAATTGGTATGAAATATCATCGTATATCTACTTTAATTATATTGGAATATATCAATCATTTTTGGTATACGTATAGATTGCCATAATCCGATTATAACGACATTCATGGGACCGTCGTTATAACCGGAAGACGCTATAACCGTGTAAGTGTACCCGGGGACCAGAATTTTAGTCGCAATAACCGTACGGACGCTACAAGCGCAGCCGTTATAACCGGATTCTTCGGTACTTCAATTTTAATGTCTTTTACAGTAGAGCTATGTCTATCTCTTTCTAATATCAATAAGTCTTTTGGTCTACTCGAGACACGTTTAGTATGTAAGTTCTCCAAGTTTTGTTTGCAAAAGTCTTTGGCAGTCTTATTCTTTTTCAATTGTCATCGAAAGTCGATAAGTATTTGATTGTCATCGCCAAACATAGCACATGAGCTGATATTTTATTAATAACTGCCAGATCCAAATTGACACCCACATATAATAAGCTCGAACTGCCAAAGAATAACGACGTCTGGCAAATTTATCAAATCGCGTGTTACTAATGACCCCAACGGATAAAAATGAATTGAACTTAATTGTGCTACGGCCCAAGTGCGCACAGAGTTCGTATACCAAAATGGGTCATTTAATCGAATTGCATCTATTTCGAGCGCAAACAGTGTGAGTGTAAGTGCCATAGATGGGCATGCTTGACTTGAAGATACCCAGTACTTCGAGCTGGAACGTATACAGATTTATGAAGAATATCATCTATAGGCTGAATGATTATTTTCTATGGAGCCGAAACTTCTTTTAAGTAAGCTCATGTGTATTACACTACCTCCATCATAGCGCAGCTCATTTATCATTTATGTTACCATTAATAAACTTGCCTGCTTCGTTTAGCCACATATTCAGTAGCTACAGGGTATATTACGAGATCATATCTAAATTGTGCCCTATTAAGCTTTGAGTGGAGCGTTCGACGTGAATGAAAATAAACTCAATATGAATACGTATACGTATGTATATGTATGTATACGATATACAATATATTTTCAGCATTTGAATTATTTATGAAACTGTCGGTCAAAGACATCCAACGCAATTCACATCAGGTTAAAAGCCACGCAACGCCACTTACTAGAACTGGACGAAGCAATACATACATATATGTATATGTATATATATGAGCACATATGCATAGCTCCAGCTTGCAGCTTAATTGAAAAACATTTAGAAGAGGCAATGCATACGACTATCAGCTTGTTTTTAACTTATTCAAGTCTTCGCTGTCCAGTGAAAATCAACCTGAGTGGCTGACCATTATCATGAACAATGGAGCATTCATTCAATGAGGAGACTAACGGGGCACTCTCACATGTCCATTGCTGTTATCCGAGCGCATTTATCTAACATTGCCAATTGGATTTGGAATGTGTAACGTGAGCGTAAGGCCAGATAATGAGACGGGATAGCAGCACAAACGATTGACTAATCGGATCAAAATGTAATAAGCTGTGCTACCCTCTTATTAAATAGCTTATTGAGTTTAGTTGTTGTATTGTATAATTCAATTAAAAATAAATGCTCTTTCTTAAACAAAATCAATTATTTCAGCAAGTAATATTTTATTATTTTATTTTTATGTTGCATATTTTCGTATAATATTTGTTCTACTTAAAATCAAATGTATTTTCTATATA